TTTATGGTTCCTACAGATATTGGATAGTATTGGTGACAAAGGACTTGCGGTTGTCGCTGCCACATGTAAAGAGTTACAAGAGCTGAGAGTTTTTCCCTCCGATGTACATGGTGAAGAAGATAACAATGCAGCTGTGACTGAGGTCGGACTAGTTGCAATCTCCGCAGGTTGCCCTAAACTTCATTCGATTCTATACTTCTGCAAACAAATGACAAATGCAGCGCTCATAGCCGTGGCCAAAAACTGCCCAAACTTCATCCGGTTCAGGCTATGCATTCTCGAGCCACACAAACCTGACCACATCACATCTCAATCACTAGACGAAGGCTTTGGTGCGATCGTACAAGCTTGCAAGGGTCTAAGACGACTCTCTGTCTCCGGTCTCTTAACCGACCAAGTCTTTCTTTACATCGGTATGTACGCGGAGCAGCTCGAGATGCTTTCGATAGCTTTTGCGGGGGACACTGACAAAGGAATGCTCTATGTGTTGAATGGATGCAAAAAAATGAGGAAGCTGGAGATAAGGGACAGTCCTTTTGGGAACGCTGCGCTTCTTGCTGACGTGGGTAGGTACGAAACAATGCGATCCCTTTGGATGTCGTCTTGTGAAGTAACCCTCGGTGGCTGCAAGAGGCTCGCGCAGAATTCGCCACGGCTCAACGTAGAGATCATCAACGAGAATGAGAATAATCGGATGGAACAGAATGAAGAAGACGAAAGAGAGAAGGTTGATAAACTTTACCTCTACCGAACAATGGTTGGGACTAGAAAAGATGCACCACCATATGTTAGGATTCTTTAGTCTCTCCCATTTCCCACTCCATCCTACAGGACCATCTTGAATCTCTCTTATGGTTCATGTTGGTTTTTTGTTTTAGGCCCTTGATGTTGTTCTTTAGCTCTTTCTCCAATTTTAGGTGTACTTTGCTTCAGACAAGAACTGATTTCTTTGCAGCTTCATGTGTTTTAACCATTTCTTTCTGCTCATATTTAGTTACATGCTACTTGCTTGTTTTTATCTGCCTTCAATGTAGGGTATCAGTTTTTGCCTTTTATCAAACTTGTGAATTAAAAAACAAAGATGAACAAATACAAATGTTGCATTTTATTATACCATAATTCAGCCTTTGAAAGAACTAAAATTTGGGTAAAATAACAAACATGTTTTCCAAATAATACATAAAAATTACAGAGAACATCCACAAGGAACCTATTTATCAAATCCATGCTCTGGATGAGTGCACTCTCAAACAAAGAGGTGAACATCAACAGACAATGAAACACGATAGATAGTACATAAGACATTGAGAGTTATGGCATATGTCTTCGATTAGACACATAATGCTGACAGTAAATGACAAGATCCACAGAGACGGGCATTCTCAGAAGCAGCATTCCTCCAACAAACAGCAACAGCAGAGAGCAGCAAGACTGCCATTCGCAACCCGCAAAAAAAAAGGATTCCGTTAATCACAAGTCGTAACAACAACTCTAATAGTAATATATAAAAGAGTTTCATTAGAGTGAGCATAAGAAAAGCCGCAGATGATATAGACACTAGAATTTCAAAATCCTACATTTTATCTAGAGATTTTATACATATATTTTGGGGTCAAGAATCTAAAATAAAAACCATTAAGTAGTTCTTAAGAGAGCCACTAGATGCAATGAAAAGTAAACGATCATGTCCATAAAAACTGTCTATACATGAATAGATAACAAATTGACAAGAACCTTCTTTAGAAGATCAGCAAAGCACTCAGAGAACTAAATCTAAGGATTAATCCGAATCTCTTGTTCTAAAATTCCGATCAAAGGCCACCAAACAAAGTGAAAAAGAAGTCAAGTCTGAGTTCCCAACGAAACTCTGAGTTTCACAGTAGTTGTCCAAATTCAACTAACATTATGACTTATCCATAAATCAACTCAAAGGAATCTGGTTCTGATCAGGATCATAATATTCCCAAATTCCATAGACCAAAACACTTGTTCAATGAACCCTCAACATAACATTAATCAGTGATCAAGCATAAAGCTCAATCATAGCTTTAAACCGACACAATGAGTTAAACAAGATTGACCAAAAAAGCACAAAGAATCGAATCACAAGTAAACGGAAATTAAAAGGCGGGAAGTGGTAGAGAAGACGAACCAGCCACGGACGAAAGAGAAGCAACCAGAGTCAGAATCTTGGTAATGGTGATGATCGTGATGACACTGATTGTAATTTTGCGGCGGAGGAGGAGGCGGTGGTCCGTGATGATGATGAGGATAACCTCCTCCGGCGAAGTAACCTTGATAACCGCCTTCGTAAGGACGTGAAGACGGTGGTGGATACGGTTGATATCCTCCGTGAGGCTGAGGCGGAGGATATCCTTCGTGATGCGACGGTGGAGAAGGATATCCCGGAGGCGGCGGTGCTGATGGATAACCCGGAGGAGGATAGTGAGATTGGTATCCTAATTCGTCCGATCAAAAACAGAATTTAGTACTTTTTTGGAATCGATCAAAATCAGAGAATCAGAATTCAAGGAATCGAATCGAAGAGAATCATAAGAAGAAGAAGTGATTAAGAACGAACCTGGAGGAGGATATGATTCCGGTGGGACTTTGTCGTAGCTCATTTTTTTTTTTTTTTTTGTCAAAAATCAATAATTTTCACTTTTCGAATCAGAGAGTTTGGGATTATCGGAGAAAAATAATAATATTTATTGAAGTGCCAGGCTTTTCCTTTCCATTTAAGTAAAGTCACGTGTCACTAAAATCATGTTGCTCACGTTTTTATTGGACTTGGGCCCGACAATAATTTATATATTCGTTTGTACCTTGTTTTAAGTTTTGCTATTGGGCCTAGCTACTTACTTATTTGGGTGCGGAAAAACACTCACGAACAGACCTCGCCGCTTGCTTTGATCAGAGAATAAATACACATTATTTTTGGATTTCAAATAAATTTCGAAAAACAGAATAAATCCTAATAAACAAAAAACTAAACTCAACAGTTATTCGGTTGCTAAAAGCCTAAAACTGTCGATCCGAAAAAAAAACTTGAAACCCAAATTATCCGATTCAAAACAGAAGGCTTTGCTCGACCCGGAAAAAAACATGAAACCCAAATTATCTGATCCAAACCAAAAAAGCTTTGCTTAGACTGTCGACCTAAGAAAATTTGAAACACAAATTATCTGATCCAAAATAGAAAGATTTGAACCGTGGATATAAATGCATATGATTGACGAATTTAATTTTTTTTTTTTTTAAACAACGGATTGAGATTGTTTTTAATGTGGAGTGTATAAAAATGTTTGGATGAATATTTGATGTGAAACAAAGGAAAAATATTTGAGGTCAAAAAAAAAGAACAGAAGATCATAGTCGTCTGTGTAACAGCAGAGACATGTGGTGCCAATCCACGCGCTCTCTCTCTCTTTATTATACCGAACAGTCAGTCATTAAAAAATGTTCGCTCTGCGCTCACACACTACTTCCATTTTCGTCGTCTCCGAGCATGAAAAAGGTAAATTAATTTTTTTTCAACTGATGATATTAACATCAGTTACAATATATAATTGATACAAATTTTTTTTTAACCTATGCAAAATATTTGCATCACCACTTATCTCACTTATATAAGTAATGTAAAACTAATTTGCATCAGTTATAACCAATTCAGATATTAAAAACAAGTGACACAAAACATATTATTTTTGTAGTTTACAAATGATTGTGTGAAGATGAATAACTTAAAATGAGTTTGAAAAAGCTAGTTGAATGATATTCATTCGTTTGACGAATTAACACATTCCTTGACCCACATATGAGATATTCAGCTCACGAGTGTTCTAAAACGTATTTCGTACAAATTTTTACTGATGAAGTTGAAATAGTTTGGTGCTAGTGCTGTGAAGATGGTCATATACTACCTCAATAAACCACGTCGTTTTCCGGCGTCAGAGTGAGATAAGTTTGTTCTCTTTGTGTCTGAAACTATGATTTTGTTGCCGAAAACTATAATCTTGGTTCGAAATAATTTATAAGTTTATTGGACAAATTGGTGTGTTCTTCCGCTGTTGTGTTTTGGCATTTAGTTTTACTATTATATTTTATTATTACTATTATTTATTTATTTCATAATCATTATAATGGATAAAATGGCATTTAGTTTTACTATTATATTTTACTATTAGTTTTTCTTTAACAATATAGTAAATATAATCAAAGGATAGTCTTTAAAATCGAAAACTTAGAGAATGGATGATTTTTTTTAATCAAAAATACTTCTATTCAAACTATTGGTTAATTATACTAAAATTTTCTACATGGATATAACTAATGCCATCATTGATGCATTTGGGACCGTCAAAAACCAATAATGGGCTAACTCTCAAAACTGATAATGGGCCGAAGTTATAATAAATACTCGATTGCCTCATTAGAGTTGTTTTCCAAAGTCCCACATCGATAATTCTGGATTCGCTCGCCCTCACATGATGCATATTTAAAATATTCCCTAGCGTTTATCCTCTTAACCAATGTTAACCGGTTAGCCATAAACAAAGATAACCGAAATTTTTGTTCGAAATAACATATCATTATCCAATGCTTGTTCGAATTGTTAGATTTTATTTTTAACCTAACAAAATTTCGAGACAGAACCATCTGGAAATTGAATTTGTAAGTGCTTTCTAAACCAAGCCAGAGTCTAAAAAAAAAAAAAGTTGTTTCTTCTTAGCCTTCTTCGTAGCTTTTGATCGGCAGCTCTACTATTGGCCTCGAAAATCTGCCCCATTTTGGTGGAATGATAAGTTGTGATCTTTTCATTGCAAATCCATACAATCATTTGTATAATTTTATGGTTCTAGATGTTTTTTCCCCCAAATTTTTAAAGTTTATCATATAACTGTCCTATGATTAAAAGAACCATGTCGTTTAATAATTTAATTTGACATATCTTATTTAAAACTCTATATATAATTTAGCTGTTATATAGTTGTGATCCATCATTCAGATTTCATGTTTACCAAAGAGTTGTGATGTGTGAATAAGAACACAATGTTAAGAAAAATTATTTTTTAAGTAAATGTTGAAAACCCTTTAGCCACAACTAATATATAAAAGCCCATGCATACACTACTGCGCATGCATTTTGATCGCTAAACACAAACGCTTTGTTTTTTACGGCGAGAAGCAGTGGAACACAAAACTCTCATAAACACCCCCGCCGGAGACCCGGAACTCATTATCCGGCGGAGATTCCGACATACAAGGATAACTATTTCTCTTCTCTGGTCTCTTGCTTGAAGCAGAGCCTAACCTCATGCCCTTTCCGGCAACGGCGGCAGCTTTTTTCTCCATTCTCCGGCGGTTGACATACTCTTCCGATATAAAGACATCCATTTGAAATACTTTGTGGAAACTAGAAAGGGATTGAAGAAGTACTGGGAAACCTTTGGGGGTGTTTTAGGGAAATAAATGTTTTGATTCACAGTTTGTAGTTTGTTGAGGAATCAAAATGAAAGTATGTAATTTATAGATGGCGAAAAACTGTGGGCGTTAGGTTCCATGTTTTGTTTGGCACATATATTAACTAACTTAGACATATTCATTATGAAAGTTTTCCATAAAAGATGTTTTTTGCCCGTTGTATATGTGTACTCGTGTTGAATGCTACATAGTTAATAGTTTTGTGAAATAATTTAATAAATAACTAATTACTAGAACCTAGTTTTCATGGATTTGATGGATTCTTTTTTCAAAGGTACGTGACATGATAGACCCACTATTTCTTCTGATTAAAAGATGATCTTTTTTTTTGTTGCAATTTTTGGCTGAATACATATTAAAAATAACTTTTATTACATCACGTGAATGTATCATATGATAAACAAATACAAAGAATGAGATAGTGCGTTATAATTGACAGCAAGAGAAATAAATATCACAATTTGTCGCTTTATAATTAATAATATGGTTAAAGCAAAACAATACTAAAAACAAGTGTCTTTTTCAAACATTGTTAGAAAACACAAATACACCATTTGACATATGATTGGTAATCTCGAGAATCTACTAAAGCATGTGATAACACAAATATCATTAGAATTAAATATTACTCAAAAATCCAAAAACTGTCCAAGGAGCCGTAAACCATGCAGGCCACAGATTATATCGAACGACAAGTGTATGAAGTTTTCAGAATGAAAACCGCTCTAGAACGTAACGCCTATTTACTTTGAGCTCTTTATCCCTTTTTTTTAACGTGTCACATGTGCTTGTCTTTGGTAAACTACACTTTTGCCCTGTTCTAACATTGGTTTATTGTATCGAACGGGAAGTATAAAATGGACTAATTCATGGTCGATATTTGACAAATCAGTGGATTAACCAATGTTCGTTAAAAGTCCACAAATTGATTTGATGCATGCGTGAATTCAGCTTATTTAAAACTTTAAGGAGAGCCGATATGCAAGACTTTAAAACTATAACTCTAGTCCCTTTTATGGCGAATCCACAAAATCCAAACCCTAATTTATATCAAAATAGCAATGTTAAGTAAAATGAAACAATGAAAGAGCCTGATGGCATTAGATATTTAAATATATATTAACGTACAGTATGTGAGTTTATGTATATATAGTTATATACAGATATATTAAACTTGTGGATATATATATATAAACATGGATTATTTTGTAGAGTTTATTCTTTGAGTTTATCTCCCATCCCTCTATTGGGCCAATTTTAGGCCCATGCTACCCCAATCTTACGCGTGTATGAAAAGATTTGACGTTCAAGTAAAGTTCAAAAACGACGTGTAGTTCATCTCTAAAACAAAAGAACGGAAAAATGTTAAAAATGCAATTTTTTTGTTTTGTTTTGTCGTTGCTCCTTCATCAACCACGTGTCATTACTTTACTGGTTTAAGCAGGAAACGAAATATTGCAAAGCTAAACTGATAAAGCTCCTTCCACCCACCGCCATAGCCATTTCTTCTTCTCTGTAGTAGTCCACATAGAGAGTAAGAGACAGAGCTCAAGCCACAGTCTCACTCTAGATAAACTAAAGTCGAGATTTTGATTGGACCCATGATTTTCATTCGGAGAAATTGTTATCTTTGGGCTTAATCGGAAAATGGACGTTCTCGCCTTATCCTCTTCCGCTTCCGCCGCTTCTCTAGCCGGAAACTTCCCGTTGTTTACTTCTAGGGTCAGAGTGAGAAGAAACCGGGAGAATTTATTCGTTAAACAGAAGAAGTTTTTAGTTTCAGCTTCGAAAAGAGAAGAGCCTAAGCTCAATGAATGGGATCAAATGGAGCTCAACTTTGGCCGTTTACTCGGAGAAGACCCGAAATTGACTTTGGCTAAGGTGAGATTTCGTAAAAAATGGTTCTTTGAATTTTTGAGATGAAATTCGATTGTTTTGTCTTTGGATTTCTCTATAGACTGATGATGTTGTTAATGGTGAAATTCATACAGATAGTGGCTAGAAAAGTGAATCCAGAAGCTTCTTTTATTGAAATTGAGAAATCTTTCTACAAGAACAAAGGTAAAATTCCTGAAGTTGAAGAGATTCCATTGGATTGGTCAAACGATAAGAAGAAGAAATCTACTAGTTCACTGGATGGGTTGAAATTGGTAAAGCCTGTTCTTAAAGACGGAGTCAAGTTCGAAAAGCCGGTGATGAAAAAGCCAAGCCCTGTTTTGAAGAAGCCATTGGTGGAGGCTGCTGCTCCAAAGGTGCAGAGATTGCCTAATGTTATATTGAGAAAGCCGAGTTCGTTTTATACTAGTAATGATGATGATGAGGAGTCTAAGTTGCGGTTGAAACCGAATCTGACACTGAAAATGAGGAATGAGAGAGAAAATGAGAGGTTTAGTGATATGACATTGTTGAAAAAACCGGAACCAGTGAGCGTAGATGCAGCAGAGGAAAGTTCTGAAGATAAGGTTATCCCTGATGGGTTAACTATGGAGGAAGGAGGACAAGAAGATGTAACATATTCAGAGTATACTCTTTTGGAGAAGCCAGAAGCAAGGTCTAAGCCTGAGAACATAAAAGAGGAAGTTGGAGATAGCAGAGCAGTGGAATCATCAGAGATAGAAAACAATTCGATTCAGAAGCCAGAAGCAAGGCCAGAGCCTGAGAACGTAGATAATAATGTTGGAGATAGCGGAGCTATGGAATCATCGGAGATAGAAAACAACTCAATTCCAACTGGTATAGAGACAAACTAAGACCATTTTCAAATAGTCTAACTTGGAGCTGATTCATATGTTTGTTGTTTTATCAAGAAATGCAGCTTAACTGCGAGAGGTCCTCGGGATCCTCCGAGGAGAGAACCATTAACAGTGATCCAATCGAGAAAATTCTTTCGAAACCAATTTCTCAAACCATCGTAGAAGCTTCTTTACAAGGGAAACCACAAAGGTTAAATTCTGGTTTAGTATCTTGATTTTGAGGAATTGTGCTTTCTTTCTCCTTTTTTCCAGTTTTGACTGACTGTTACTTTTGTTATAGATTAGACCCGTCTTCTGTGGAGCCATCAGTTTCAGACAAAGGACAACCGTTAATCGTGAACCATGAAGGTCGCCAGGTCTCTGTTGAGCTCAAGGGCCCTCCTACCAGATCGTCCTTGGAGGTTCAGAACTAACACTCTTTTACTATTTATTCGTTCATAAGATAAGTGGCATATGATAAACTCGCTATGTGTGATTTTTATAGGAAAATGATTGGAATGAGGCAGAGTCTCTAGTTAAAACAGAATTACGAGCAGATGTTGAGCTAATAAGTTCAAGCACTAGAGGATTTGCTGTAAGTAAGATTTGTACTCATTTTCTAGTTTCATCTCTTTTTTGTTTACTAATATGTATTCTTTTCTATTTAAACCCTTTTTACAGGTTTCCTATGGATCTTTGATCGGATTTTTACCCTACCGGAACCTAGCAGCAAAATGGAAATTTCTCGCATTTGAATCATGGTTAAGAAGAAAAGGTGTAGATCCATCACTGTATCGACAAAACCTTGGGGTAATCGGAGGTCAAGATGTCACAAGTAAAGCTCCATCTCCAGATTCAAGCTTAGATTCTGAAGTCGCTACATCGATCAACGGAGAAGTTTCTTCTGATATGAAGCTGGAAGATCTTCTTATGGTATATGACAGAGAAAAGCAGAAGTTCCTGTCATCTTTTGTTGGCCAGGTTTGTCAAAAAAAATCTGTAACTTTTATTATCATACATGGAAATGCTTGTTTTTCCTCCCTAAACATTTCAACTCAATGCAGAAAATCAAAGTGAATGTTGTTATGGCTAATCGAAACTCAAGGAAGCTTATATTTTCGATGAGGCCGAGAGAAAATGAAGAGGAAGTTGAGAAAAAACGAAATCTTATGGCTAAGCTTCGTGTTGGGGATGTTGTGAAATGCTGCATCAAGAAAATTACTTATTTTGGTATTTTCTGTGAGGTACTACACCGGAGTTTATCATATTTTTGTAGTAACTTCTTGCTAATAGACCCACAAGAACAGAAACCAGTTTGTTGTGTAAAACTAATAAGTCTTGGTTGAAACAGCTAGAAGGTGTCCCTGCATTGGTTCACCAGTCAGAAGTTTCATGGGATGCAACTTTAGACCCTGCTTCATATTTCAAGATTGGTCAGGTATATATCTCGAACTATCGTAAACGCTGCTAAGGAATAAAACTGTTTGACAAACGTTTCTTTTTGGTGTTATCAGATTGTGGAAGCGAAAGTGCACCAGCTAGATTTTGCTCTTGAACGTATCTTCTTGTCGCTAAAAGAAATCACGGTGAGAAAGATCTCTCAAAAGTTTATCTTGTAGCAATTGGTAACTCATTTGATACATATCTAAACCCGTTTGATGTCTTTATGCAGCCTGATCCTCTAACCGAAGCCTTAGAATCTGTAGTTGGTGGTGATAATGATCAGTTGGGGGGACGATTACAAGCAGCAGAGCTCGACGCTGAGGTAATAAAGACCTTCTGTGACTTATGTGATGAAACCATTATTACGGGCTGAAAACTTTCTTCTACAGTGGCCTGACGTGGAATCTCTGATCAAAGAGCTGGAAATGGTTGAAGGAATCCAATCAGTATCAAAAAGTCGTTTCTTCTTGAGCCCGGGTCTTGCTCCAACGTTTCAGGTACACTGTTTAATCGCCTAAATGCATATACTAAACACGAAAACATCTGACAGACCAAATCGCTGAGATTTTAAGACTGTTGTGACTTCCTTAGTGAAAAATGTGAAGTTTCTATGTATTCATCGGAATCTAAGATCTCTGCTGGTTTTGTTTTCTTTCTCTCTTTGTAGGTTTACATGGCTCCAATGTTTAAGAACCAATACAAACTGCTTGCTCGAGCTGGAAACAGAGTACAAGAGGTAAAAGAAAGAAAGCGAAAGATCTAACTTATAACATCTGTGTATAAATCTTGGATGATGATTCAGTTTTTTTTTTTTTGTTGGGACGGTTTTGGTTTATTGCAGCTTATTGTTGAAGCATCGTTGAGCAAAGAAGAGATGAAATCTACAATCATGTCTTGCACCAACAGAGTAGAATGAGAATATTTTGAAGAATGGATAAATGATTCCACTATTTTTTTGTATTCTTTAAAGTGGTATCACTCAAAGACTTACCAAGTGTACAACAACAACATATGATTTCTAATGCAATACTTCCTGAGCTTTTATGATGTCAAAACAATTTCCCCACAAAAGCAAGAAACTGGAAATGTATAGGTGAGGAATGAAGTAGATTATATTAGTTCTTGTGGAAAACAAGAAAATATTTACAGGCTAACAAATTGCTAACTCACTTGACAATGCAGTTGCACCAGTCTAACCCACTCAATATCTGAATCTAACCTAAACAAAAAAAGAGTCTCTACTCTGTACTAGTTAATTCTTTTCTCCATTCATTAACATTATATGTAGTCTTTGTCCTTGCTCATCTTTTTTGCAGTTCTTAACCATATATTAAGCTCAAACCAAGCTTGCGATCCCTGTTCTTACGACCCAAACTTGCAGATAGAAGACACTCGAGACCCATAGTTAATTTTTTCCGAAGAAATGCAGATACAACACCGTTAGAATCAATCTTTCCCTGGACAGTAGACTAGAAACAAAAGCTCATATTACTAGAATTAAGATGAATTTATATAAAGCTTTGTTTTCAATTCCATTAAAATCTAAAAATTAGCAATGTTACCTGTTTAGAAATCTTGCATTCATATCCAACACTAGCTATAACATCATCTCTTGAAAAGATGCTGTACTCAAAATCAGTGGCGAGTGAAACCTGATTATGAGCAAAAAATACATGTGTCATGGTTATTATCTCATCTCTACAGAGTTTAAAGATAAAATTAAATGAGAAAGGCGCTTTACCTTTTTTCGCAGAGGCGACCTGTTAATAAAGAAAAGTTCTCAATATGATTGATAAATAAACAGTAAAAGCTTTCACCAATATAAGATACGATCCTAATTTTCTATGAATGTGAGCTATCTAATAAATTGAGTAACTGACTGAGAAGAAGCATTACCATCTTATCCGTCTCGTATCTTGCAGCATAACCTAACTTTGGATACACACTGCACCAGAAGAACTCACCACCCAAAGATAGACGAGGTGTCACACGCTGTACAGAAAATTACTATCAGCAATTAAAAAAAAAAACAACTTTTACAGTTTAATATGATGCAAACAGTTTATTCTTTTTCTTTTGTATTTGTGAGCTAATTGTTATTGACAAGCTTAGAACACAACTGTGAGTAGCAAATTTACCTGGATATATGTTGCTCCAAATAGGCCGATATCGCTATCGCTCCCAAGTAGAAGTTGAGCTCTGTAGTTTAGAGCCTACAGAAATGTGAGCCAAAAAAAAGGTTCAAGAAACTATTCATCAAAACGTTCATCAGTCATCACAAAGATAGCAAATCTTCAAATAGAGATAATTTCCTCACCAAGTATTCAAAGCCCGCTCCTGCCATGTACAAACGTGCATTTCTCAGCTGGAAAAGAATGTAAGAGAACACATTTTGTCAAGAGAAAGATATCACCATAGAATAATCACATAATCTCTAGTAGCAAAAAACACTTACCTCAGTCATTGCAACAATAATCAAATTATCAGTTATGGCCTTCACACTCGCAGTTAGTCCACCATGAGTATTAACATATCCAGTAAATTCCAGCTGCAACAAAAGATTTATCTTTTGAATTCCACAAAGAAACAAAAAGGTCTTTTTTTTTGTATTTTTCAAACGAAACCTTTGGGTGAAAGTAGTAGGAGGCACCAAGCTCATAATGTTCTGGCTCCGTCCTTGCACTGTTTGACACAAGAATAAACGGGCTTAACGAGAAATTCCAAAAGAGAAGGACAAAAATTGTTTGCAAATGTAGTCTTGTAAACTCACCTGATATGAAGCTTTTCATCAAAAAAGGCAGGGTAGTAGTCTAAATTTAAACCCCTGAAATAACCACGCTTTAAGAAGTCTGCACATAAACAAAAATTTGGTTTTGACTACCAAGACAGACAGACAGACTTTGAATCAAATCCGGATCAATTTAAATCATAGTAGATAATTTCTACTGTAGGTAAGACAATCATGAAACGATTAATGGAAAACAATTAGAAGAAGCAAAACAGAGTACCCTAAAGTGCTCGAACTAATTGGCCAATACAAACATAAGACAGCTAAATCTCTAATACAATGCCAGACTCATCTATCTCCACACTGATCAAGAAACCCATATATAGATGGAGATATCCGGGAATTCAATAAGTTATGTACAGTGGAATTGCTAAACAAAGAGAATCTTAGAAGAAAGAAATCGATTTATGATGATACTTAACCGCAAGCTTCGTTATCGACGAAGTGATATCCAACAGGACGAGTGAGGTTCGAGTTATCAACTTTCTCAAAGGCTTCTTTCGTCGTTAACGGTGGTAAGATATCCGCCATCGCCGCCGTTATCTTCTTGGGTGGTAGAAACGACAGGGTTTGCTTCCAATTTAGGGACAAGCCTTTTTTTTTTCGTTTCTTTGTTTTTTGGTGTAAGTGGGTTTGGTCTTGTAAGGGTTTTGACAAGGGTTTTGACTTTTTGTAACTATTGTCCTGATGCTGGTTTTCTCCGGTTCGGTCTTTAATTTAGACATGGGATTTCGGTCGGGTTCAACATTTTTAACTTTTTTTGTGATTTTTTCTGAGGTTTGAATAGATTTGTTTGAGTTTGAAATCGCATCTTGTTAACATGGAAGATGATGGGGAAAGATCAGAAGATACAAAACAAAGATAGGTTTGCTTCTTTACCTAAGGTAGAAATTATCAATTCTTCTACCCTAGCAAAATGCCTTCAAAACTACAAAGTCTTTCTTTTAACTCCCGAAAACATAAAAACAACACTTGAGAGTTGAGACACAGATTGTTCATACAAAAACCAACCCCAACCGTATTTACATTTGAGTGCAATAAAAGCCACTGATTCACTGCCGCAGGTCCTTCACCAACCTTCACAACCATACCACCACCAAGAGATTACAAGGAGATAATATTAGAGTAATCACTAGGCAATGTGAATCATGTTCTCAAACAACCTCCTCTGGAGCAAGATCAAAACTTTGCCTCCAATGGTGAGTGATACAGCGGGCATTGTTGAGAGTTTGTGCACAGTCCACTGCAGACTCTCCCATTGGGCTGGGAAGGAGCTCGCATAGCTGTTAAAACTAAACAAAAAACAACAGCATTAGCAAATGTTCAGGATCAGGACAAGAATGATTCAACTCTGTTTGACCAAAAACATTGTAATGGACACTAGTTTTTACCTCATTGATGTGTCAATATAATTATAGGCTCTTGAGTCATGTTCTGCCTCAACTGGCTCTGTATCCACACAACTGACATGCAGAACATGCAGCTCCAACATTATTAGACAATTTGGCGTTTCCCTTGTCCACCACCAACTCAATGCCCAAACTCAGCGATAAGAAAAAAAAGAATCATACTAAATAAGAACAGGCCCCGAAAAAATAAATCATTCTAAGATGAAGATTTGGACTTAATTGCAATGTCTACGGATTATAACTTCTCTGTAACATTAATGAAGCCATTGGAACTTTACCTGACACCATTTCAACCATCGAAAGTGCACAGACCAATCTGCGAGCAGATTTTCTTCTGTTGGGTCTGCTACATGCAAGGGAATGAATAGTAAGTCAAAATAGTTTGCACAACGTACAATTTGTCACAAAGATTTTTAATATAACTTACCTTAGACAAAAGTTAATCCAAAATGGTCTACCCGTATTGATCCAAAACACTCTTGCTGACTAACAACTCCAGCTGCTCCAATAGCATGGTTTATCATGGTGATTACAGTCTACGCAAAGAAAAACAAAAAAGACATCTTAGCATGAGATTAAAACTACAGTAGTGTAGTAAACTCAATCCATTAAGGAGAAGAAAGTGCAGGCATACCAAACAGGAGCGGCCTTTCCAACAGAAATCTCTTGGAATCCAAGACCAAAGATACATCAAAGTTAGCTACAAAAAAAGTTATACCGGGCTCCTTGGTTGCCTCGATAAATCCCTGATGAGATAGATAATGATAAGGAAGGAAGGTCAATGATGTAGCACAAAGGCATGGTAAGAGTGTTGAGTAGGGTAGGATAGAGAGTTCACCTGATCCTTGACAACTAAATCAGGGGCAATTGCCCCAGCGCCGTAATGAATTGCAGCGGATTTTCCTGCATCAAAGACCAGCGTGGTGAGTTATAACTTCACAGCTCAGATCAACAGTGATGTTGCACCTTTTAACAACAGTGACAAAGATTCTCTACACGTTAAAATGAATTTTAGAAGCTAAATTGAATTGCCAGTTAACTGTAAAGTATCTATCTACCAACTGCTAAGCAAGGAGACATCAATGAAGCACATCCCAAAATTTTAAGAACACTGAAAAATACTAAAAGGACATAACTAATTCAGGATATACGAGCGAGAACAATGTGAGAAAAAGCAAGATTTCGCAGGTTTTTTTTTTTTTATCACCAAACGTCTGAATATCCAGAAATAAAGCCAGCAAACCTTCGATGACAAGACTCTAATCACACCACAAAGAAAACAATCAAACCATTCTAAAAAACTAAGCCAATCCTTTGAAGTTTTAAACTTTAAACACACCCCCAAAAATGGACATCAAGTAACAATCACAAGTTAAGAAATGGGAAATGATACTTTTCTGCAATCAATTCACACTAAAGCACGAACCTTTCGATTCATTAGAAGAATCAAATCTTGTGCAGCATGGTTTCGAATCCCCGAACGCATTGCTAAGCACGAAGTAAATCAGTCAATTGAGCTGGAAACGCCGCGAGTTGCTTCGGGTAAAAGGGAGTAACGTGAGCTATAAACATGGCACGGTCAACGAGGTCTTTGGAAACAGAAGGGTCTAAGCCAATGCCACCAACGGAGGAGAAACTGAGAGCTGCTTGTTGCTGAAAGAGATCGACGGAGGTTTTAAATGGTTTGTAAATCAATTGGAGCTCCGTTTCGTAACTTTCTGAAATGCTGAGAGTCTCGGGGCTCCGGCCATTCTGGAAGGTTGAGATTCTCGGAGCTCCGGCCAGATGCCTTTAAGGATTTTCCGGCCATTATCGGAGGTTTTGAGAGAGAGAGAGAGAGTGAGAGAAAGAAAGAAACCCAAAGGTTTAGATCTTTATTGAGCTAGGCCGGTTTAGGATTTAATGTATCCTTTGGTTCTATCCGGTTAAGATCAATTTATTTATGTTTTTTTTTATAATCTTGTACAGTTTCACAAGTAGTTTTTTAGTTCTATCCGTGTGAAAACCGAAAATCTAAAGAGTTTTTACTTGGTGCTTCCAAAATCTTTAACATTTTTAAACTAAGAAGCACCACAGAATTAACAAAAATCAACAAATTTTGTGGATTAGGCTTCATGTTGTTTTGTTCTTGCGATAAATTTATAGCATTTTTGTTCCACTTCATCTATATCTTAGTCTCCGTTTGTTCAATATACGTAGTGAGTTTTGTATTTCGTTATAGAGATTGGAAACAAAGTAAGTTAATTCTTGTTACTATCGTAGTTTCATTAATTTTTTCTTTTTTTCATAGTTTCATTTTATTTACTTTATTCAATTGTGTGATTTTTATTTGAAACTTTTAACGTCGTTGGTGTATTGACATCATACATAATGACAAAAAAACGATAGTTTTATTGATTAACGATTTTCGGTTGTAACCACTCCAAATGAATTGAGACTAAAATTAAAAGGTGTTGTCAAGAAGAGCAAAACGTTCCAAATTTTCATGTTCCTCTATGTAATAACATGCCTCTATAATCTAAGACATTAACAAAACAAACGATCATTACTAACAAAGTTTAAGATGATTGAATAACATTTTGTTATTGTGAATGTAGTAGATAGAGAGATTAACAAAGTACCTGGTCGTCGTTGTACTTGTTTATAGCCAATCTCGAGAGTCGTTGGAGCAGAGCTCCATCGGTATCAGGTTCGTGAGTCAAGTAATTGTCATCGAAAACCACTTGTTTAAAACTGGAATCTTTTCCTATCTTGGAGAAGTCAAAGTCGAAATACTGGTAACAAAGAATACATATAAGAGAAGTAAAAAATCTAGCCGCAAAGAGGAAAACAGAGAGAATTTGGATCATACATACTCCGTTTCTTTTGAGTTCTTCCTCTGGATCGTAGTCGGACGAAGAATCGCTGGATGTGTCTTCTTCCTCTTTTTCTTCGACCTGAAGCTTCTTACCCTTCGAATCAGAGTGCTCTCAGATACACAAGTAATCGCGGGAGACATTATACCCTAAATGTTCTATCCTTTTTATCTCCAATTTTCAAAACCACGCATTATACAGTACATTGAATTCAGAACCGGCTCATGAACCGGTTTATGAGAACCAAAGTCAGAGCGATGTGGGACAGAAACAACCGGGATTTCATTATTTCCTTAATTAATTAATTAAATTTATATTCAAATTTTGATAATTTTTCGCCATCCGCCAATATTTTCGAATTTCAAAAACTCTCGGAGGTTCGTCGATGGCGACGGCGGGATCAAGCTACAGTGTCTCAACAGATCATCAAGTTCCGTCATCTCTCGTGAATCTAGGTAACTACTCTTCTCCGTTATCAAAATCTCCGATTCACTGAATCGTTAGAGTCTAGGGTTTGCAAATTTTGGTGTCGATTTTATAGTTGTGATTCGAATCAAATCTAAGAAACTCTTTTTAAAACTTGAATTAGACTCTGTATCTGCTCAGGTTCTAGTGTAGAAATGTCGATAAGTGCTCGAATTAGGCAATGTGTGTTTAGATTTTGATTACTGCGAAATTTGGGTGATGAGTCTAATGTTTAGTAAATTCATGTACTTGGATTGTGATTTATAGCTGCCAATTCTGATGTATAATCTCTGGAAAGTTATATGGCGTTCTGATATTAATTAAGTGACAGGAAATGGTGCTGGTGTTTGTATAATGAGCAATGCATGGAAAGATGAACAAGAACCTTCACTTATCAGTTTCATTTCTGCCTTTCTTACCGCAAACTCTTTCCGGCTAAACTTTGTCTCAATCCCCCCGGTATGTGCCTTCTTTCTCTGTTTTGATTCTTTTGGAGAATTGGATATCTTAGCTTAAAGAATTCACTTGTTTGCTGTGATAGGATCTGATCTTCAATTGTGGAGGTGTTTCTATTGCTTTTGTTTTTGTTACTAAATGGGATTGTTCCACTGTTGCTTCCATCTTCAGCAGGTCTATTTAATATACTTTCAAGCTTTGTCTATTACAGTCTCCTATATGTCTTCTGATTTTGTTGACTTAACCTTTGTAGAGTAAAGAGGCTGAAAGGGCAATTTGCGCAACTTTATGTTGTTGTCACACTTTCAACTAAAGCGCAGAGTGATTCTTTCATGCGATCTTACTTCCAGTGAGTGGTCTTCTACACATCTTTTTTTCCACTTTGCAAAAATTTGCTTATCTTTCTTGACGAAAATGAAGCTTCATAAGTCTTTTCATAGATATGAGATGGAGTTTGGGAAACCTGCGTTTGTACAAGTCATTGATGCTGAGATGGGATTTGAGAAGATTGTTAAGATTGCTCACTCTCGTGGAGGTATCAAATTCATTTGTTTAGTGTTAGTTAAAATACTCTATAGTTTTTCGAGTGAGTAACTGATTAGGTTGAAACTTGAGCTTCAGTGTGCAAGCAACAGAAGGTGGCATCTAAGCTCAAGGTTGAGGTAGGTTCTCAAAGATCATTTGTTATAATGATCTGTTTCGATATTTGTTTTATGGCATCTCTTAAGCTTCTTTCTTTTTCTTTCGTGTGAAGAGAAAGCGAACTGTGCAGGATACAAACATCTTCATCAGATTTGTCACATCCATACCCAACATTAACAAACATGATGCAAACACGGTAATGTTTTACTTATGAGCAGGTTCAAGTGGTAATTGCACTTTTGATACTATTGAAATACAATTCCAACTCCAAACTTTAAACCTGACTGTGATTTTTGCCTCTGCACCATGAATTCTGCTTGCTTACTTATGTTCTCATTGATTACAGCTATACCAAGCTATTGGTTCAATCGAAGCAATCGCTAAAGCATCCAAAGAAGACATTTTAGCAAACACAGATCTCTCTTCTGAAAAGGCTGAGACACTCACCAGGTTCTTCCAAGATCCTGAGTTCTACCTCAGTCCCAAATTCAACTGATGACTGCAGAACAGTTGTAAGATCACAAGTTATTGGCTGCATATAAACTCCATAACGTCTTAAGAGTTAAGACTTATCCATCTTTATTCTTGGCCGTAACAGTTTCTAAAGGTAACACTCAAAGACTTTTCCTAGTCCTTTGCTATGGCTACAATACATACACCTATAGGAGCCAGTACCGGGTAAGTAAAATGACTCACTTCTTTACCTTTTTGCTAGCTCTGTCTGACTATCAGTACTTTTCTTACATTCCTTCCTTAAAGGGTTTTGACTTTAGATGATGTTTACTATTTGAACTTAATCAATAAAGATCTGTACCAAAAAATTTGATGTTTGCAGTAATTAATTACTCGAAGTAACACCAAACTAAATCATGAAAACGTTTGGTAGATTGATTGATAAGTTTGATAGTTAAGCACAATAAATGACCGCACTTGTTTTCTTTTTGTTGATGTTTAGGATTTTGGGTTTCTTTGATCTTAAGCAAAAACGACAAGCTAACAAAACCCATGTGGAAATATTTAGAAATCTTAGGTGGGGTTTTTTGAAATTCGAGGAATTTACCATTTATACCTACAAAAATTGATGCAAAATACGTGTTATGAAATTTATTTCAAAACTGATCTATATAAAGATATATTTTGTTAGAAAAGAAACCATACTAATAATATATTCCTTTACAAGAAAAAAAAACGTTTTATTTTGCCAACTCTAACACAAAAACATTTAAACTGTACCCAAATCGGATACCTAAATAAAGTTGTAGATATTATGATACCAGTCATGAGTCATCAATTTGATCATATAACGTTATCGGTAGATCTCTGATGTCTCTGTCACACTCCTATGTATAGATAAACATAAATATTGATTGGACAACTTTAAACAGAAAAAAGCTGATTGGACAACGTTACTATCCAATTATTAGCGTGTTATCAATCAGTAATTAGACATTAGGCTTAACGAAGAAGGACAGTAAGATTATCTAAACCCATAGAAAATGATCCTAAATTACTAATATACCTCCCTGTTTTCATAATCATATTTACAAAAATAGGTTAAAAATGTCATTGCAACAAAAAAAAATTATTTCCATTTTAATTAATTAAAATCCACCGAGAAAAGATCACCATCAATGCGTAACTGAAAATCGATGAATCAAAGCTATCATACACTTATACACGGATCATCATCATCGTTGTCATGATCATCACTGCCCTTTTTATAGAAACCAACAAAAACATCATAGAGCCCACTCTTTTTTTCTATTTTTCGCTTTGCGTGCCTTCTTATCAACTTGTAAACAAAGCTACAAATATATCAATAAATAAGGACCCAACTCTTCTTCTTTCTATCAATCTTCTTCATTTCTTCTGTTGGTGGTGATTTAGTTTAAAAGAATCGAGTTTTCGAAGTGGGTTCTCTTGATAAATCTTTCTTCTTCTTTGAAATGGGTTCTTCTGTGGAGCAGAACATTCTTGTTACTGGTGGTGCTGGATTTATCGGCACGCATACTGTTGTTCAACTTCTGAAAGATGGTTTTAAGGTTTCGATCATCGATAATCTTGATAACTCTGTTATTGAAGCTGTCGATAGAGTTAGGGAGCTTGTTGGTCCTGATCTCTCCAAGAAGCTCGACTTCAATCTGGTAATTACGTACTTGGTTCTTTTTTGTCTAGTCTTGCTTGTGAGGTGAAATTATTGCTCTGTGATTGTATTCGTGTTTGAATTGGTTTGTTCTGTATGTTTGGCTCTCTTGAAGATGAGAATTGGTTTCTTGATTAAATTCTTGTTAAAACGATCTTTCAAACATAAATTTTACTGGGTTTGAATTGTTTTAATGGTTGATCTCTGGAAAAGTTTTGATTTTGGTGTAGTGAAATTGTAATTCTATTTGCTTTCATGTTTAACTTGATGAGGCTCGGTGTAAGTTGGCTTTGGTTAATAAGCTAACTTTTGAAACAGAGAATTTTATTCTCTTTTCCAAATTCGTATGAAAAACAAGGATCACAATAAAACTTGAAAACGTTAGCCTATAACCTATATAGACTTTCTTTTACAATCTTATCTTTGGGATCGAATTTGTAAGGAGATAATATGTAAGATTTGATGTTGATTGATTGCAGGGTGATCTAAGAAACAAAGGGGACATTGAGAAACTCTTCTCCAAGCAGAGGTATGTTATAGATTCTTACCTTTTAAGTTTGCAAATAATATCAGGTGAATTGTAGAGTTCATAGCTTCTCTGGATCTCTGAACCTTGGCTTGATTTCGTTTTCTTGTGTGGTAACAGATTTGATGCTGTGATTCATTTTGCGGGTCTTAAAGCTGTGGGTGAGAGTGTTGGAAACCCTCGCCGCTACTTTGACAATAACTTGGTTGGAACAATCAATCTGTATGAGACCATGGCAAAGTACAACTGCAAAACGGTTAGATATGATTCTTAAACTTTAGAAATGTTACTTTTTTTTCCTTATTCGGTTTTACATTGGTGGGGATACAAATTGATGTGTTGTTGGAATATACAGATGGTGTTTTCATCATCTGCAACTGTTTATGGACAACCTGAAACGATTCCATGCATGGAAGACTTTGAATTAAAGGCTATGAATCCTTATGGTCGTACTAAGGTAAACTTTACTCTTGGCACATCTGAATTTCGAGTTCTTTGGACCGATAATGTCTCTCTTGATTTTCTTCCTTCATCCAAGTCCCTCAAATATTAAAAACTCTTTGCTGTAGATTATAATCGTGAAAGTTGGCTCTATTGTGACTGATACCTTGAATTTTTTCCAAATCTTGCCTGAGCCAAGAAGCCTTTCTTAAGCCTAACAAATATAACAATGCTCAATTGTTGAAAGTCATGGTGGGTTTACCAACCTTTCCTTTGTGCAGCTCTTTCTTGAAGAAATAGCTAGAGATATTCAAAGGGCAGAACCGGAATGGAGAATTGTTCTGCTGAGGTACTTCAATCCTGTAGGAGCACATGAGAGTGGCAGTATTGGTGAGGATCCAAAAGGCATCCCCAATAATCTCATGCCTTACATCCAACAAGTGGCCGTTGGACGTTTACCGGAACTCAATGTCTATGGACATGACTATCCCACCAAGGATGGTAGTGCGGTAAGAGACTACATCCATGTGATGGATTTAGCGGATGGCCATATCGCTGCGCTCAGGAAGCTATTTGCTGATCCAAAGATTGGTAATTCTCTCAGACATTTAAACTGTTAAAAAGAGTTTAGTTTGATTTGATGGATTCTTCTCAGACCTGAGTTATTGTAATATCAGGTTGTACTGCTTACAATCTAGGCACTGGTCAAGGAACGTCTGTGTTAGAAATGGTTGCAGCTTTTGAAAAAGCTTCCGGCAAGGTAATTACAGAAAATGAATTCAGAAGGGTAAATAGTTTGTAATGGTTTTTTAAAATGGTGAAACAAAAACAACATTTGCAGAAAATCCCGATCAAGCTTTGTCCGAGAAGGTCAGGAGATGCAACAGCAGTTTATGCTTCAACAGAGAAGGCTGAGAAAGAACTTGGCTGGAAGTAAGTTAACTCTTTCACCATTAACATGATTTGGTTTAGGAGATAAATAATGTTATTAAACAATTTGATTTGGTTTAAAGGGCAAAATATGGAGTGGATGAGATGTGCAGAGATCAGTGGAATTGGGCAAACAACAATCCATGGGGTTACCAGAAGAAGCTTTGAATTTACTTCCTTTTTTTTTGGAGTTGCCATATCTGATTACTCAAATCTAAAAGAAAGAATTATACATATGATGATATAGTTGTGCTTTATATTCCACATGTATCGAACTGGTCTCTTACTTTGATGAATAAAATGGAAAGTTGATTTTATTGAATTTTCAGTTTCTCTGACTCTGATGAATGGAAAGGCTTGTTCAATGGCTTCAATGTGTTCAGGACAAAATCTAAATTGAGCCAAATTATCATAAAGAAAAGCATAAATACTAAATGTTCTCATAATATTCAACGACATAAGAAACCATGGAGGATACCTATCTTACAACCAAACGCCATGCGTGCCCATTTGACCAAGTTGATGCCTGAAAAGCAACAAATCATAGGAACACAAGAAGGTTCATTTCATTGAACTATGGTTTGTTTCGGAATGAACCATGAGTTGCAGAAAGCATATCTAGAAAGCTTTTGTCCAATTCACCACTAGACAGCATATAAATAACCATCTTAACAGTGGAAACATCTGCAGAGAACCCACCACTCTTCATTTCTTCAATAAGTATAGCTGCTGTAGTTGCATCGCCATCACCAAGATGTGCCCTGATAAGTATGTTGTATGTACAACCATCTGGAGCATGTCTTTCCTCTCTCATTTTTCTGAGCAGTATGTCTGCTTCACACAGTGAGCCTTTCTTACACTGTCCCCCAATCATTATGTTGTATGCCTTAACATCAAGCTTCACTCCTTTGAGGGGGAGGCTACAGAATAAATCCCAAGCATCATCCACCTTACTAGCATTGCACATCCCGTGACTAATGATGTTATAGATACCTATATCAAGCTCCATCTTACTCTTCTGTATTTTTTCAAATATTTCCAATGCTTTCTCTAGTTCTCCATTGTCACACAACCCATCCAGCAAAATTTTGTAAGTCACAATATTAGGACGAACACCTCCGAGAAACCATCTCTTGGAAGAGTGCTTTGGCAATATTAAGTTTTCCCGACTGACAAAACCCTTGGACAAGTGTGTTGTAAGCAATTGTATCCGCAACCACTCCTCTCAGAGACATTTTGCGGAAGAGTTCCAAACCATCGTCAACTCGTTTGGCCTTACAATATCCATTTATGAGGATATTAAATGTCACGATATCAGGATCACACCCTTTGCTAACCATCAGATCCAGCATCTGGTTGGCCTCATCCAGGCGGTTCTCCTTGCAAAACCCATCTATCAGAGAATTATATGTAATAGTATCAGGAGATAAACCTCTTGTGATCATTTCATTGTACAATTCTTTAGCCTCTAGAAGTTTCCTTTCTTTCACAAGGGGTGATTTTCCTTGTGATCATATCCTTGAGCAACTTGGCACCATCATCCCATCTACCAGCACTACAAAAGCCTCCTATGAGAGTGGTGTAGGTAATATTATTTGCTTTGATCCCTTTCAGTTCCATTTCACTAAAAAGGTTGAGTGCATCGTCGAGCTTCCCGTCTTTGCAAAGACTATCAATGATGATGTTGTATTTGGCTGCATCGAGCATGATCTTCCTTTCTTCCATCTTTCTGAGCAACTCTAAGGCCAGGGCAATTTTCCCGGACTTGCACATTACATTTA